AGCAGTACCGCTCGCCCAGTACCGCTTCCATCATCGCTTGTGTGTCATACATAGGTATTTAGAAGTACTGCTTTAACCGCTCGCCCGCCTTGAAATCCTACCCTTATACCTTTATATTAATATACAGTGGACCAGTTACCGCTTCGCTCACCCCTTCACATAAGCGCCAGTGTCCTCTATAAATACCCCAATTCACAGTCATTTTTCACTTTTACCCTATAGTAACTTCCTCAAGAAGCTTCAGTAACCGCCATTTCTCCGTGCACAAAAATTCAAAAATCTCGATTCTTCAGCCAATTTTAGTTCAATCTAGGGTAAGATCTAGACTAACCTTGGTCTATAACCTCGATTTTATGGTTCATTCTCTGATTTGATGCACAATAACACATAATCAAACATTATTTTCGTGAAAATTGTCTGTTCTTCAACTATTGCGAAAAAATTTTATATATTAGATTTATGTGAATCTAAGTCTGATATCTGCTAGATTTAGATATAATAACTGATATACTTGCTCCGTATGGATCAATGTTATAGTAATCTGTATGTTTGGGCGTTGTTTTGTGATTTTCTCCCTTTTTCACAACGGAACACTTACTAGAGTGTTCTGTTTCGTTGTGAGGGGGAGGGTTTAGGGTTCAAATAACTGAGATTTAGGAAATTACTGCTTGTATATGAATATTGTTTACAGTTTGGAACTAATAAGGCAGGATTCATAAGTTTTCCAAATTAAACAATATAAATCTGAAAAAACCCTAGGTTCAGAACAAGCCAGCAAAATAGATCCAAACAAGCGAGAAACGTCACGCAAGGAGTTCGAGAGGATTGAGGAGAAAATTGAAAGAGGATTCAATGAATCAAATCTACAGACGGGCGAAAGGTAGTAACTACAACCTCGGGGGCTGAATTTGTGGAACCAGCGCCGCCAAAGGCATACTACAGAAGCAAGAGGCTACTGAAATTAACTGAAGACTGGGGAAAGCTCAAAGAACTTAAGTCCATTCCATTCAGGAAATTCATCCCAGAGTTCCCGGAGGATTACCTCAGATTTGAATACACTGAGGAAACAAATAGAGGTATCCGGTGAGCGATTGGTGGTTGGATTACGAGGAACTGAAAGACTTTCAGTTGAAGGAGCTGAGGAAAGAATTTGCTCGCCAGAAGATAGGGGGAAGAATGAAGGCCTTCAGAAGCGAGAAAATTTCAAAGAAGAACGCCGCCGATGCTGCCAAGGATGTGTTGAGATCCAACCAGTACGACTCTGTCCATTTTGCGAACATCAAGGCAACGACGGCGTATGAGAAGGCAAAAGTGATAGGGATCCTCTATGAGAGAGGATCTGACCCCGAGAATATCTCAGGCCCGCTCGCCGACTGGTTGAGGGAACGGGGCCTGACCTGGTTGATCCAGAACCCCAAGGACCCAGTGGACGTGTCACTGGTGAGGGAATTTTACGCGAATCTGAGCAAACTGACAGTCTACGAAAATTATATATTCAAGGAAGATGGATAGACTGCTCAGCACGGAAGATCAACTGGGTCCTGGGCTGGAAACACCACTACCCTACCCAGGAGATGGAGAGCAGGCTACAGGCAATGGAGGACTGCAGCTTAATTGAGTTGCAGACACTTTATATGACCTTCGCCACCACCCCCAAATATGACAAGAGAAACCTGAAATTCGGGTCGGTGGACGAAAAGAAAAAGGAATGGATCAAGTGGTCGCTGAGCCGAATAATGATTACCACTCACACCACAGACATCCGTCCTGATTTCCTCCTTGCCTTGCACTCAAATTTGGAGGAAAAAGCTGATATTGATTTGGGCACAATTATCGGCATAGATATCTGGGCAAGAAGAAATGTAGAACGAATGCTGGGTCACAGGACCCTGATTACACAACTATGCCAACGCACGAGCGTCAGTTTGCCCACTCCAGCCCCAGATCTACAAATTAAGCCGCTGCTCCCAACGGCCTCTCACAAAGCATAGCTAGAGTCCAAGGGGTTCACCCTCATCCCCAAACAGAAAAAGAGGAAGGCGAAAGCGGTTGTTCCTCCCCCTCCACCAAAAAGAAGGTTGAAAGTTGTGAGGGAGAAAAGGCCCCGGAGGCAGCCGCTGGTGAAAAGAGGTCAAAGCGGAAAGAAGACCCCGCTCTGGAGCCTGTCGAGAAGAAGCAGAGGGTGAAAGTAGCAATCAGGAAAAATCCAACACCCCCTCGGCGAGCGACAAGGCAGGAGAAGGGAAAGGGTAAAGCGGTGGAAGAAGAAGCAAATAAAGATACGATCCCGCTTCCAGACTTGGAAAGGGGATCACTATTAGAAAACCCACCACTCAACCCGAACGACCTTCACCAACGAGGCCAACAACAGAGAGGGTGCCACCCAAGCCACTAAGTCCAACTGGCGATGAACCTGCCTCCGTCAACCAGCAGGGGGCAAGTGAGCCAACTGCTGCTGGAACAAGCAATGAAACCGCACCCGTTAACCAGCCGAGAGCGGAGGAGCCTACTGCTGTTGGACCAGAGGAGGAGCGGGAGATTGTCATCACTGAAGAAACCATCGGCCGGATCGATGTCACAATGGAGTTTTACAAAGAACAAACCGCCGAGGTCCCCGCTGCAACAACCGCTGAAGCTGCCAATAAAACCAAAAAGATCGAGGCAGTCATAACAACTCTGCCCATTCTGCAGTTGTCTCCGCAAGCGACAAAGACAACATCGGGGACGGCAGAAGGAGAGCCGATGCTATACAGTCCCAAAACACCAGTAGAAACTGGAACACCTACAGAAACTCTGACTCCGGCCTCAGAAAGATCTGATAAAACAATCTTCGATGAGAAGAAGAATGAAGAGGAAAAGAGATTTTGGAAAAACAAGCTCAGTTGCTAGCCGCAATGCAACAGCTACAACAAAAGCAGGAGCGTGAGCACAGAAGAAGAGAAAGATGAAGGTGTTGGCCAAGTTGCTAAAATATTGGAAGCCGCTGATCCAAATCCAGCTACGATTCAGAAAGTACTTAGAACTAAAGAAAGCAAAGCAGCTGGAGTATGAGGTAGCGAGGCAACTTGTGTTCCTGAGGGACGTTAGTTCGGCCGAGTCTGAGGGACAGTAACCAGCACCCGTGGAGGCAAGCACATCAGCCTCCCACGCAGGATTCGACACCCTAGGAAAACAACTGGATGAACTCGACGAAGCCATGCTCAACCAATACCTAATACTCCAATCACTAATAGATACACATACAGGGAATTTGGCTGAGGTACTGGCCACTGGCAAGAGGGCGAGCTCCGCACTAGAAGCGTGCGTAGAAGCGCTGGAGACTCAAGCTGCAAGCTTGGGTGCATCTCAAACAGAGATTCTGAAGGCACTTTCGGCCATCACCCAGGAAAATGCGATCCTTATGGAACAACAGCTTAATATAGCTAAGAGTCTCCAAAAAATGGAAGAGCTAGTGCGGCAGCTGACAAAGAATTTACCTCTGAGACGAGGACCCACACGCGAGAAAAAGAAATAAAGAAAGGTCTTCCCCCGTGTAAATTTTTTAAAATGGCAAGGGCTGTACAAAGGAAATGATCAACGATACAACAATTTTTGGTAACAAGTGAAATTTATCTTTATTGTATCTCTACCATAATCTAAAGCATGTGTCTTTATTTGAGATACTTATAATACCCCGCTGCGTTAGCCCTGTAATATGTTTTAGAGTAAAGTTAGATAACTTGAAAACACCAGACTGAGTAATCGTCCCTCGACCTTTTTCAATAATGCGAAAATTGGTGTTAAACTAAGTAACAGCGGATATGTCTTGTAAGGATTAGTGCCCCCTTGGTTTCAAATTTTCCATATTCAGTAGGGCAAACGAACTTCTGCCTATCGACTTTGTTCACAAAAGATGACTTGAAAAGAGAAATCCTTAAATATGGTTTAAGACACGATGTAAGCAAAGCAAGGAAGACCTATCATTACAAAGGAGCTGAAAAGGCCTAAGTGCGCGAAAATCAAGTAAGATCATGAGCAGACACACTATTTCTTTGAAACTCTTGATCCAAAAAAATATGATGATTCTCCGCACCCTTCGGCCGAAGGCTTCCTTAATAAAAAATAATCCCTGCTAAGCGAACAACGTAGACGATACCGGGATAACTCCACTCATGTTAGATCAAATGACGATTTTGAATGCTTAAGGATCAATTGTCTCTATCCGAGATTCACCTTGTTCCCAATCATGGCACTGATCTTAAGTAATACTTGACTGCGGTGAACAGAATAACTCTTCGATCTCATAATGTAGTTTGTTCGAAGACGAACAAAGGTTTAGTGTGAGGAGGTTTGATGACTCCAAATATAAGCATATTCCTCGTTTGACAAAACTACGTATTACTTGAATTTTTGTATAAAAAATATCACAATAACTGATTTATGGCATACTTTATTGATCTATCTCACTTGGCATGATCCAAAGTTGGCTTGTTGAGATTATTAACAATTTTTGCCCTATTAAGCGGTGTTTTGGATCCGAAAAAAGCCAAGGCAAATGAAACAAGCGACAATCTCCATCGCCCAGAAAAACTAAGGCAAGAGAGGCAAGCGACAACTTTCACCGCTCGCAAGCGACAGCCTCCAGCGCTCAAGCCAGCGATCAAACACCCACCACAGCGAAGCGACGGTAATTCAACACAAATATCGCCTAAGTGTCCAACCCGCAGCGGTACAACCATTCCACTACCAGCCAGTACAAGCAAGCCCGCTTAACTGCGTTGATGCCCTCCAGCCATCCGTCAAGCGAGGAAGATCTGCGCCCTTGCAAGCCAGAGCAAGCGAACCGAGCACCCTGGGAGTTATGGCCAGCAACTGCTTCAACAGAATAACCGTCACGAACTGACTAACTGCCTAGCGGTTGAAACCACTTTGTAACTGCTTGCAACCGCTATTTCTACTTGCTATAAATAGGGCCAGATATTTGTATGTAAAATATACTTCGAGAGGAATATACTAGCAATTAATTTTCGCGCATTCTAGTCGTCTTCCTGTTTCCCGAGAGCTCCAACCCTGTAAGGGAGTTCTCCACAGGAATGGCCAAGGGAGTTGAGATTTCTCTTCTCCCTTGGCCACCACTTTACTGTTTACTTAGTTTAATTTATTGCTTTAATTACAGTCTTTGTAGAATTAGAAATTTCAACTTTGGTAGTAAGTAATGAAATATCATTTGCTCTTCATTATCACTTCTTCCACACTTTTCACACTTATATAAATTCTAATTGTAAAGAATTTTTACTTAGCTAGTAAAGAGCACAAAAAGATTGTTTATCCAAGCCTTGTCTTTTGTCACAAAAATATTCAAGGTAGTTCAATGTAGTTGAGTACGTGGGAGCCTTGTCGACCTGCTTAACTACTGGTTTGAATTCAATCTTGATTAAAAAGAGGTAACAAAAGGGTAAATACACTAATGAGATAGAAATTGGAATAATTAATGGGGCATAGGCAGTGGTCTATTGGGTTGTAGAAACTCCTAGTGACAGTAGGGTTTCTTTCTCATAATGTTCTAATTCTGAGCGTCATTGAAGTCTTATTGTAAATCCCTTAAGGTCAAGTACCAGCAATAAAAGTTCTATATAATCTGGTTTATAAATTTACATTATCTCCTTCTCCCGTTTCCGTATTATACATATATGTTCGCTTAAACACCAGCACCATTTGCTCACTTCCTCCAGGAAAACCTAGCCATTAAGTAATGCACAATTCAGACACAACACCTCTCCTTCAATCTCTATCGCTCAATTTATACACATATGCGTTGTGTGTCATCCGCCCATGTCCTCTCGCTCATCCATCCCTGGCATCTTGCCCGCTCACCACCGGTTCGCTCGCCACTACTCCGCTCTTTACCGCTTTTATTTCCAGCTTTCTTTAGATTAAGATTTAGACCCGCTTTGCAACGGGTCCTTTTACTGCATTTCCGCCGCTTTCATGAGATCAATACTTGACTTAAATTCGTGATTTAAAATTCCTGTATTCGACCTGGAAACTCACCAGTTAAATAGTATAAATAATTATGATAACCATTCAGGGTCTACAACCACCAATTTTTTACTATATCTGATCGCTCTCTATAATCCATTACATCATAATCTTCGAATGATAATTCCTTGTGACTATATATACACCATCCCCAAGTCATCAGTCGCAGTATTATTTGGATAAAATATTATCCGTTGGATAGATTTATTATAATCTCAAACGGAAAGTTTGAAATTAGAATAAATTACAATCGTTTCAAACAGAAGGTTTGAAATTAGAATAAATTACAATCGTTTCAAACGGAATGTTTGAAATTAGAATAAATTACGATCGTCATAAACAGAAACTTTGTAATTAGAATAAATTATGACCGCTTCAAACGGAAGGTTTGAATTTAGAATAAATTAAATCAGTAATTAAGGTCATAATTATGATCGTAATTGATATTCTATCATTTTGGCCGAGTGAAGACGCCTATATAAAGCCCCCTTCATTCTTGACATACCAACAACTCTCTCCTCCTTTTCTCCTCTCTCCTAGCTTTCCGGAAATCTCCCCAACTCAATTTCTCTCTCGCTTTGTTCGTCGGAACACCAAATAGTAGAGGTGCCACTTTCATTGAAAACGTAAATCGTTTTATCTTTGGGTTAGAACGCCAGCCACCGGATACACTACCGGAGCGTATCTAATTTTCGAAAAGATGATCCATCGTCGACTCGGTCCTACGGTATATTTTACTCTTGCAATACCAATTTAAACCAACATTTTAACCTTATCCTTAATTAAAGCCATTTCCAAATCCTAAACCAGTCCATACCCAAACCCGCTTACCCTTTCTCCCACTCTCCCCAACCACAAACCAGAATGCCGCCCTCGTCTTCTTCTTTTCCGCCCTCTCTTCCTCATTTGATCGCCCGCCAACGAAGCAACGCCGTGCCAGACCACCAGTCCTCCACCACGCCAGACTTCAGCCCCCGCTGACCGTCATCTCTGTCTGAGCCTATCCCCTGCAACTGCGCCAGCGCCCGTTCGCCCGTGCGCAACACCACCGCACTGCTGCAACCGCTACAACGCCAATGTCGCCCTTCCTTTTCTTCTAGCGACGACAACCACCGCGCTATCCACCAGGACCAGTGCTTCGATTAGGTATTATTTTTTCATCTTTTTGTTCTAATACTTTCGATATTTTGATATATTACACTGAATTTGTGGAATAATATGTTGCATCGCGAATGAAAATTGAATCTCTTGAACTCCAGTGACTAGAAATTTGCCGTGAATTTTGTGTGATAATAATATTCAAGTGTTTGGAAAGCATGTGATTTGTTTCGATAGTAGTTCAATTTCAGAGTCTTCTACCTTGGATTAGTTATATTGGTGTTCTTAATTGCAACTTAACTTGATATGATGAACTCTTCTGGCCCCAATTGTTTTTGTGATGGTTGAATTGCATTGCCAAGAATTTTATTTGCTCTCTATGTTGATTAATCCTTGTCGTGACCCATATATTGGCTATTGGTTGTGCTATAGGACTGTTTTACCTATCTTGATTTGGTTTTGCATGTTTGAATCGATATTCAGTTTTTCTTTGTTGAATCTTGATTATATTTTTTCTTTAATGGCTTCTTTTGTTCGTACATTAGGTGTTCTTCACTTCATTACTTCTAATGTCTATTCTTTTGTGTGATGACATTTCTATTGATTACTGGTTGCGATTTGAGAGGCACTTGACTAGCTAGATCGTATGTTATTCTTTTCATGGTATACTCAGTTGCGCTTGGCTAGTTTGTTATGCAGATATGATAGAGAATTTCAAGCCTTGTCTTAATGTAGCGTACGGGGAAATCAAAAGGCGTTGGCAAGCAAAAGAAAAGCTTGCAATTGCTCCACCCTCTACGGACTCCAGGGAAGTTCATCTCTTATTTTATTTCTCTTTATATTGAAGATAATGTATGCTTTAGATGTGGGGAGGGGATTATGTAATTTTTTTGGGCAATTCTTTCGATTTGTGCTATTTTATGCCTAATTTGTTGTCCTTTCGCATATTTTTAGATTAGTCTGAAGTGAGTCAAAGGTGGTTTGTGTGATAGGTTAGTCTGGCATGATTAATGACATTGGATTTGAAATATGTAAATATGTTGAGTCAGATTGACATTTGAAAACTGTGAGAATTTGAGCCTATATTCTAAAAAACTTACGTTAAAAAAATAAACCACATAATATTCAAGCTTTTGGAATTTCTTTCATGTGTGATTTGTAGTGCTCAATTAGATGACCTAGAACTTGAATAATTATGCATATTCAACTTGCAATTATCAAGTCTTGCATTTTGAAAATGATAAGGACATTAAGTAACCCTGTTAAGTATTTCTTCATCACCAAGCACAGTATATTTTCTTTAATTAGCTCATTTGATCTTTTTTAGCTTATTTTTACTTCTATACTGTCTTTTAGCCTTATACTTTTTTTTAAAAAAAAAAAAGGCCTTTTTTGATTTGGACCCTATGTTAGAAAGAATTCCTTTAAATTCATGTTGTGATGCACTTATTGTTCAACGCTAGTTATATATCAAATTTGGGCATGAATAAATAACATGTCCATGAGTGATTGTTGCAATGGGAATTGGTGGTGAAGGTATATATATATAAATATATACACGTATATATAAAAAGGCAAAAGCCAAAAAAAAAAACGGCCAAAAAAAGAAGTCAATAAAGAAAAAAAAAAAAAAAAAAAAAAAAAAAAAAGAGAAAATAGTTATCTAGATTGAAGTATTATTGACGTGAGTATATATTGAAGTCATGGGATAGTGAATAAAGTAAGGGTTTCATTGTTTATGCCAAACTGCTTTCTATAAGCTTAGAATCGTGTTCTTTTCTGATATATTTTAGCCTTTGTATATCATTTTTTCTTACCCTTGTCATCAGCCCCGTTACAACCTTTATGAAAAGTCTCTTTTGATTCTTTATGTTTGATTTGAATATCTTAAGCGAGAGATATTTGATTTTAACTCAAGCCTATAAGATAATTTTTTGTAGCACTACTTGAGCGTTAGCCAATTATATAGTTATTTTCTTTCAGAGAGCATGAGTGTATACACTTTATCCTGTGAAGTTGACTTAGCTTGATATATTGAATTTCCGATTGATTTAGTTGTGTTAAATTCTCTTGTCATATTAAGTCGGCTGCGATTTCTTTTTGTTTGTTTCGAATCTATGCTTGAGAGCAAGCATGATCAGGTGTGGGGAGATTTGATAGCTAGAAATTGCATGCTTTAAATTTTCATATTATTTGCTATATTTGGTCGATTTTGATCGAATTTTACCTAATTTGTGTAATATTGTTTATTTATGATTTTCAGAAGAAAAATAATAAAATTGTTAAAATTGGAGGGAGAAAAAAAAAACAAAAATGCCCAATGATTTCAATAATTAATTAAAAGGCCAAAAAGCCCAATTATTCCATAATTATGGCATAAATAAAAGAAAAGAATGGAGAGGAGCCAAGGAAGAGAACACAGTGCAGAACAATCCTGGGGAGAAATTGTGCAACGGCGAGAAGAAGGAGGATTCTTCCAAGGAAATTCGAATTCTTCCCCGTCAATCCGATCAATCTCAGAAGATGTTTATTTTTGTTATCTTTGTTATTCTTCCCATAACTAGCGTGGTATGAATTTGTGAGATTAGACTATATTTTGATTTCATATTATTTCTCGATTCCTAAGTATTTCTATGATTTCTTATTTTAATATTTAATAATCTTTTATTTGGTTGGGTGTTGTGGTAGGGTATTTCAGTTAGATTAGGCTTCCGCAATCGCATTTTAATTTGGTTCAAGTAACAACTAGTGGTAGACACTATTAGAAAATCACGGAATCAATTTTAAACAATTCTGCATATTTAATTGTTAAATTAAATTAGACTCTTCTAATTCGAAAAGTGGTTAGAGTAAATTTTTCGTGCTATCATTAGGATTCTAATCTAATTAGGGAAGCAATTAATGGTTGTACCTTAACTGTAAAAAAACTATGAAAAATTTGGTTATTAGGTATGTGTCGATAACTATAACTAATTTATTTAGAAACTAATGAAATTAAATTTCTATACATGATCATAGCCACTATCTAAATGGTCAATTTCATTTCTAAATTGAAAACTTATTTTAATTAAGTTTATTCTTTACTCGTAGATTTTAGTTTAATATTTTTATTTTTATTTTTATTTTCGACATTCAAACCCCCTTTTTAGTATATTTATAAATATTAAAGAATTGAAAATAAATTATTTTTTTATTCTCAGAGAAGATAATTCTACTTCAACTATATTACGTTTATTTTTATCATGAAAGTAAATTTATTTTATTTAAATTTTATAGCATATGAGGGATACGGTCAAAATATAAAGGAGGTAATTGAGTGTAACTAATAATTACAACAAATGCTGGTAGAAGAAAACATCACAATGACAACCCAAAAATGCAGTTTGTTTTTTCTTTCTAATTTGATTTATTTCCATTTTCATTTTTTAATTGTTGTTTTTATCATTTGAAATTATTTTCCTTCGGTTGTTGTCTTTAAATTCCAAGTCTTTCATTTAATTTTAAATTCCAATAGTTTAATTAATTTATCTGTTAAATTCCTACTTTTCATCTCTTTTATCCAATTTACAACATTTATTTTTTTGCTTTCCTTCAAATCGTTTATCGTTTAGCTTATACTTTGATTTCATACATTTAATTTGAAAGCATGTTTAATTAAAGAAGTGGAGATATTATCCAGATGCTTTCTTTGAAAAAGGCAGAGAATCCACCACGTGAAATTATTGAGCAATAATATATATGAAATATCATGTGTACATTTTCACCCAAAATGGCACATCTGAATAAGGTGATGACGTGATACTTGCGGATCAATTGCATATCACCACACATATATATATATAGGAGAAATCGCTATCGCAAGCAAAATTACTGCTACTCTCCTGATCAATCTTCGTCAGCTTCCCAAAGAAATTTTGCGTACGCTGCACAGACATCGCTGAAACCGTCCCCAAATTATGCTTTCAATATCAAACTAACTCATGAATCTGAAAGAATAACTAATCATTGCAATTAATATTAATTACCTATCTTGGGGGGCAGCTTGGATCGCTTGTTCAAAGTGGGCAGTAGCTCTATCTTTGTTGCCATGGTGCTGCCACAACATATTGGCATATATAGCGCGCGTTTGCCCGTCACTTGGGTCGGCTACTATAGCGCGTGCGTAGTATTCCTCTGACCCGCGAATGTCTCCTTTCACCTATGAATATCATTTGATAATTGATACCACCACCTCATCTCATATCATAGAATACATAGAAAGATAAGATCTCATCACAGTTATGTTTTAGTTTTAGTTTACCTGATTCAAATAATTAGCATAATTTCTAAGGAATAGAGGGTTGCAAGGGTCTTCCTCGACCATCCTCCGGTACTGATCATCTTCCTTATCGTTACTTTTGGGGCTAGAATATGACTTCTTAAATTCTTGTTTCAAGTTGGTCTCCAACGGAAGAGTTTCCGGAGAACCATTCCCATTCCCATTGTTAACCTGCACCCATTTTATCCAAAAAAATAAAATAAAATAAAATACAACCGCTGGACAAACAAGTCAAGGTGACCTGAGGCGTCCAACTCCCGTACCACCATACCATCCCTTACGGGATTATTTTTTAAAATAGAAAAGTTTCCTTAAATTTTTAGAAAATATCCTATGCAATGGTTTCAAAATACGAGAGAGTGTCATACAATTTTTAAATTATAAAATAGTATAATGTTTTCGGCATATTTCTCATAATTTCTTGTATTCACTATTTTTTTTTCAATATCAAATCGAATACTTATTTTTTATATTATAATAAAAATTATTTTTATGTTTAAAGCATTACATTAATACTTATTTATAATACAATATTCAATCACTTAAATTCAAATTTTTCACTATTTAAAATATATTTCAAAATCCCAACACCCAGAGAAGCGCAACCTTCAGTATCATAACATCCTCAACAACCATAAAAGGTAATCATTTCAATCAATACACAATTTTTCTCTAGTATAATATCATCATATTCAATCATTAAATAAATATATAGATAAATACAAATTCTGTGGCTATGTAAACATGCAGAATTTTATCAATTTTAGCATTGTTTATAAAATAGTAACTTTTCCCAAAAACATCATCAAATGTCTACTTTTTTTAAAAAAAATATCATACTCCCTCTTCCCACATAATTTGTCCCACATAACTTGTCTTTTTATTTTTGAAAATATAATTATACACTTTAATCACATTTTTAATTTTATTATTTTTTTAATCTTAATTAAATTATTTAATTATCATAATCTTAATCTATAATTATTTTTACTAATACACTTTTTAATTACTTATAATTATATTTTACTTAAATTCTCGTGTCTATAATAACACGCCTAATCACATTGGACGGAGGGAGTATAAAATAATAATCTTTTCCTATTTATGCAATTTTCCAAAACTTAAAAAACAATATCTATCTAACTGGAATCTGTTTGTTCAGATGTAGATTTGGCAGTTCAATTTATAGTTGAGAATGATAAAAAATTAAATTAATTAGTTATTATATTTAATATTATGTTTTAAATAAAAAATAATAATATTCAACATATAAAAAGATAAATATTTATTGTCATATTTAAAATTTGGAAACAGTGGAGGAGTTTTAGGCCAACATGTAAAGTTATTTCTTATAAGAACTCACTGAACTGATTAATTCTAATTTGTGTGATTAAATTTTAATTTAATGGTGATCATTAACTTAAGGAGTAAAATCATAATTTTAATTAATATATAAATTGACGCTCAATAGCCAACAATCTCGTACCCATGAATCCCACGAGTACTACTTGTTTTTGCGTATACGAGGAGAAAGTAATAATTATATAGAGTTGTCAAAAGTAAATCCGACCCGAAAAATCAAACACGTTCGACCTAAAATTTTTCAGGTTTGGGTTTGAGTATTTTTGGTTTGAAAAAAATCGAGTCGATCCGAACCCGAAACGAAAAAAATTCGTGTAGTGTTCGGGTCGTATTTCGGGTTGACCTGATAACCTGAAATATAAAAATCAGGTTAGGTTTTGAGTTTCGTGTTTCGGGTTGACCTGAAATTGTTATTATTATTATTTTAATTTATAATATTTATATTATTTTAAATATAACATAATATAAAAATAAAAATAAAAATGATATTTTTTAGGTCAATTTAATTTTTTAAAAATTTTCGGGTTTGTTTCGTGTCGGGTTCGTATCGGGTTTGTTTGGATTTCAGGTGACCTGAAACTAATTCAGGTCAACCTAAAAGAATTCGTGTTGTGTTCGAGTCTAGGGTTTCAGGTCAAATTTTGGGTTCAGGGCGGGTTCGGGTTGACAGTTTTTTTGTTATCCTCATGACTCAACCCGACACGAACACAACCAAAAAAGACGAATTGACACCCCTATAATTATATTCTAAAATATATATATATATATATTAGTATTATTTAATAATTCTATTAAACTAATAACTTAGTAGTATTTTAACTAGCAAATATTATATAATTAACTATCACATATATAATTGTTGACGTATTTTTTTAACAATAAAAAGTAAAATTCGAAAATAGGAAATATCTTCGAATTTGATAGATGAGTGCCTGAGATTAGGAATCTCTAAACACTGTAGAATACATAAAATAAAATAGGAAAATAAAAAAAAAAAGCTGGAAAATAAAGTGGTGATCCCCAAAAGCAATTCTTTTGCATAAGGTCTGTGATTGCTCAAGTTTCTTCCATCGTCGTCAACAACGACGCGTTCAAGCCAGAACGCCTCCTAGACAGTATCAAGACTCACCTTACTGATCCGAAAAACGCCTATCGCAAATGGTACGCAAGGCTTCTTCCCCACTTCGAGGACCAATGGAAAAATCAAGGGATTGATAAAGCTATCCTCCTCTCAACACAACCTCTATATCTGCACGACAAAGTCCTACTGGCCATGGCAGCCTTTTGGCATTCTCAGGCGGGTGCCTTCTTCCTCCCCTCAGGTCCTATTGGACCGACCTTGATGGATATGGCAGTTATTGCACATCTACCAATCGTTTGCGACGATCTTGTTCTGGTCTCTTTCGGAGGTCAAGAACCTACTCTCAACCATCAAGGTTGGGCCCTAGCTAAACTCCCTGAAAAAGAAAGGGGATGGACAAATTTTGTTAACAAATATCAAGGCAATGAGGGTACCCCTGTTTCCGAACTGGAACATACAACCTTCCTCCTCTTTTGGCTTTGCAGGTATGTCTTCTCCCTTTTAATTTCTTTTGTATCTCCGAAGTTTGGGTATTCAGGTTAAACTCTTTCTTTCGTCACAGGTACATAAGTTTGGGTATTCAGGTTAAATTCTTTCTTTCATCACAGGTATATCATTCTCTCCTCTTCTAAACTTGTTCTTTCTACTCAAGTTGACTTAGCCATCCAACTGGCTTGCGGCCATTTTTTCTCATTGGGAACCTTGTTTTTAGCTAACCTTTTTTAAGGTCTAACTCGAGTGAGTTCCCGCTTAACTGATACCAAAAAGGCAGATACTGCAGCTTCGGGACCATTCTGGTTCCTAGAACTGTAACTCCGTCTGTATTTTCCTTCCGCATTTTCTGGTCGCCTCCCTATTACTCCCAATCCTTATAGATCCATTGGTTATGCTCTAGCCAGACTAACCCCTAATTCTTCTTGTCTATGTTCATCCGACCCTGTAATAGCCCAAATTTTAATTGAGGATCGTAGCAATTCCCGCTTCTACGTATACGAAACTTTAATACAGTATTCAACCGATCTTTTCTTACTCCATCCTGATCCAACTCATCCTCTAACTCGTCCCGATCCTATCCCTCATCCGACCTACTCTTTTTCATGGGACGTTGCAATGAAACCCCGATCTCTTTTTTCCAATAGGAGGTCGGATAAGAAAAACCGCAGGTCATTTTATACTTACAATTATCAACCCTAATTTTTGGCTAGACAATTTGGCTGTTGTCAGGGCATACCCGGACCCTTGGCCAGTCCCCACCTGATATTTCAAAGCCCGGAGGGACTAGTGATCCCCGAACTTATCCCGACCTATATTTCCCATCTCACCAACTACATTACCTCCAATTCATACTTACCTTTCTGCCCAAAACCCTCAACGACTGAAACTTTCCCTGCCTTGTGGTCAACTACCTGATCTTTGCTTGCCCCTTCAACCGACCAACTGGTCGGGAAACTTGCTCCACCTCCAGCCTTGGCCCTTGGCTCTCCTCGTTTAGTAGCCATAAGAACAAAAAGGCAGGCGCCTGTTGCAGGCGGGTCTGGAACAAAGAGGCAAAAGAAAAAGGCCACCCCTGCCATTGATAGACAGGCTATTGAAGAATACTTGGCATCTCTGCCAGTAGACACTAGTGGGATGCCAAATATTTGAGGCAACAATTTGGTAAGTCTGTTCCTTTCAATATTTCATTTTTCCTTGCGGACCTTTTTAATTTTAATTCTTCTGTTTCAGAAGATCCTTCATTGCCACCGACCACTGCTTCATCTATCACTCAACCGACCGACCATCAACCGACCGAACATCAGCCAACTGTGGCGCAATCTCCCATCAATCTTACTTCATCCCAATCAACTGCCACCCCGACCATAGACCAACCACCTATGGTCCCGACCGCAGAACAACCACCTATAGTCCCGACCGCAGAACAACCAACTCTTTCCCCGACCACAGAACAACCAACTGTGGCCCCGACCACAGAGCAGCCAACTGTGGTCCCGACCACAGAACAACCAACTCCCAGGCAAACAGAAGTAAATTTTTCCTGATATTTCTTTACGAGGAATATCTATTTCAACCATTAACTCCAAACCTTTTACTGTAGGCACACTGACCGGAAGAGTCAACGGGAAGGCAAATTCCTCTTCCACCGCTTCCAGCATCTGATGTGGTCGCAGCGATGTCCGACCAACTCGTTGCTCTCCCTGATCAAATTGCGGAACCACAACAAGTGAGCGCCAGACCCTTTTTCAATGTACCCCTTTATAAAACTTCGGACACTTAAAACCTATTCCGACCAGGAACCTATTGCGAATGTGGTACTGCCTGACTAGGTCGTGGAATTGCCCGACCCAGTCGCTCAACAAATCGATGAGGTTCCTCCTGCTGCCCCTGAACCAGTCCAACCAGACCTACCACCTCACGATATAGAGGAAATTTCCTCTTTACTGTCGGGTGAAGCCTCTGTCAATTTTGCCCCGCGGGGTTCAGTCAGTATTCTTTCTTATCCAGTTTTTAATTTTCTCCCCTCCAATGGTGCTTAATATTCTTTGTTCAGGGTATGGAACTAGCAGCCGCCCATCACCTTCAACTAGGGGATGAGTCTGTTGCTGGCCCGACCATTCGCCACGGCAACTCTATAGCTTTCCAACTCATGGCCCCTTCTGAGGCTACGGCCGCCCTAAATCAGGTAATCTTTAACCTTATATCTCAAAGAGTTCACCATGTTTTCTTAACT